ATAAGTTTTATTGTTACGATATGTTTGCACAACTATAACGTTATATTAATGAAGCAGCATAATCGTTAATTAAACAATCGTTAATGACCTTTAGCGGAATTCATCTGAAATTTTATTATTCTGCATCTATTTCATTGATATCAATTAATGGAAATTTAATTCAGACATTTAGCCAATGCCATAAAGATGCAGCAAAGCTCACAAAATTCTTTAATATATAAACAGAATTAAAATACGTAATAACTAACTGAACCTTGATAATTTGATCATCATAATTATCAAGGCTTAAAAATAATTGATAATTAATAATATTATTTACAAATTTGTGTTAGGCTATAAAGTTGATCTAAAATATTTTGTATATATATTAGGTTGTCAAATATCTCCCTTCCGCTTTTTTGCTCTTGGTTTATAATACAAAAAGGCGGAAGGGAGATATTTGACAAACTAATATATGTATATATATACATTTTAAAATACATAAAAATATTTTATTTATATCAAATTATTATTAATAAAATCTTACCTTCGTAGAAGTCATGTGCACACATTGTCGTCCCTAAAACCGTCTGGAATGGATCATCATCTTGCGCCATTTTCTGAATATCTTTTGCCAAATTTTCATCTAATATTGCTGGACGATGTTCCACTTTGCCAAGATTATACTGAAAAAATTAATAAGCATATTTCACAATGATAAAATAATATTGCAATGCCCATTCATAAAAAAGTTTTAAATAAATTAAACTAACCATTTCGTGAACTTGTCTGCACAAGCCATCAACAGCTTTATTAGAAATAACCACAGTACCAGGGTCAACGCCAATTCCTCCGCTGGTGCCTATACGAAACATTATGGGGTTTTTTGCCCCTGCATAGTGCAACAATTTCATTACTTCGTTCAATAAAATACTTAGAGATGGAACACCCATTCCATGCTGGAAAAAGAAAATGTTGTTGAAAAATATATAGTTTAACAGGTGAGGTTTTAAGAATATTTCAAAAAGTACTAATTGAAGTTTTATATAATGTTTTTTAAATATATCTTTCAGAAACAAATACAAAACTTCTAAAGGCTTAATTAAGGTGTCATGTAATATTTTCATAAACACGATATTTTGATTATTTTTCCTTAACTAGGCGTTCTAAAGAAATAATATTGTATTGTAACTAAGTATACTAATCATCTGCATTCACATCACATGACAAATAATTATAAATATGAAATTTCATAAACGATTTTCAATAAATTACTCTCTCTTAGCAATGTTGTTATGAATTAATTAATTTGTTTTCTCGATTGAATTAATTACCATTAAAAATTCATTCCACCTTTATTTTCTACTATTTATATAAATTTATATCTAAAATTGTATCAAACCATTAAAATTACCATTGTAAAATAAAATAAAATTTGCAACTAAGTATGACCATTATAGAATATAGTAACAATTGATTTTTATAAAAAGAGAGTGGCTTTGTAAGGTAAGAAATATCTTGTTTATATAACAAGATAGGTGATAAAAGATGTTATTACAACAGTTATTAAAAATGCTGTCTTAAAAGTATATATGCTTTCAGAAGCATATAGGAAACTTAAGGAACAACATTCCTTCGTGTGAGGCAACAAATGTAAATATGAAACCAAGTCAAACAAGTTCATTAAGTTTCCAATAAGAAACGAGCGAGTTTAGAAAAATGATCGGAGCTCGTTATTCATAAAAATAAATCATCTCAATAATATTCATGCTTCATTCATTTTTAAATAATAATCATTGCATTATATATTATATACTTACATTAACACAAAGTACAGGCCCAACTTTATACATAGAATATCTATGAGAAGATTGAATCATATCATACAAAGCTGATCCTGTAGGCAATTGAATATCCAAAACTGAAAGCATATATTTAGCGAAAGTTTCCATGCGATTTGCAGTTCCTCCCATACACACAAACTGAAAAATTAGAAAATAAAAAAATAATAGATTTCATAGTATATAAATATGAAAATAACATGCGGTTTTTTAAGTTCAATTTTGCAAAATTTCAACTCTTATGCTCATATTTTATTTTCTTAGAAAATTTCTCAGAGTAAATTGAAACAATTTATCAACTATTATTTACGTTCATCATAATGCAAATTATAATTAAAATATTAAAATGAACATAGTTAAAAGATCTACTTCCTAAACTGTAAAACTACAAATTACAAAAAAACACAGATTTTATATAAAAACACATGAACATGGTATGTGACGCCAAAATATATGTTATTTAATTAACTATTCAAAAAATTTGACTAAACAAACTGTAACAAATTGTTTAAATAACATCTAGTATTTCGTTTATCATTTAGTATTTACGATTAACATCATTGCTAGTTAGTTGACTAGTTATGGACTAGTTATTCAATATTCAATTTATTTTTTTAACATTTGTATTATGAAATAACACTTAAATGTTTAAACAATTGAAAAATAGTTATACTCAAACTTTTTAATATGCAAATATAAAATTAGAATAATCATTTATTTTTTTGCACATTTAAACCACTGTATTTCTGTATATTAATACTGTTTATGAATAAATTTTATACTGTATTTTAATATTTAGTAAACCATTTTTTTTACTTTATTCATATTTAATTTAAATTATTTTACCTATGTCATATTATAAAAATTTATAACATAAAACTAACAGAGAAATATTTAGACTTATATAAAATTTAACGCATAAATTTAAAATTTAAAATTAGAATAAAAGAATTAGGAGTTGTTATAATAAAATATTTTTTTCCAAAAAAGTCAGTTTTTTTTTTTCAATTTAAAATATCTCAAAAATCAAATTTTTTCAAAGATTTCAAAAAATCTTTTGGTACCGGAAGTTCCAGCAATTTGCCTAAAGGCACGATGCCATACACCATTAGTTTATTTTATTATTACCTTAATATCGCCAAACATTTTCTCAAAGTCATGACTTCCTGTACCTAAAGCCAAGTGATACAATACATCCTGGTCAAGATGGTGCAAATGCGGATTTTTTAGAATTACGGAAGATTTTCCTTTGCGATTGCTTACACAAAATAAAATATAATCAATAAAAACACCAATAAATTATTAATGATAACGTAATTGTATTAATTACATACCCGTTACTGTATTTACCGTTCTGCAAACTCATATTTAAAAAAAAAAACTATTATTATTTAACTGATCAAATGGTAAACAAGGTTTCGTTCACTTATAAAATATACGCCGATCTTCACTCCACACGTGTACTTGTCACACTGCAGTTTGAAATCTTCAGAAGCTCTCTATAAACGCCATCAATCTGCTAATAGAGCATAGTGGGTGAAAATGAACTAAAATTAGATTCAAGGTTTATGTATATATATATATATATATATATATATATATATATGTTTTCTGGTAAATATGAAAACATAGGTTCATAATTAAAATATTAAACACGATTTTTAAAATAAGTGAATAATTTATTCCTTTCTCCGTTCCCCAAATAAAAAGCAGTAATAATTTTTATTTTCAGTTTTCATATCGATCTTACGCATTAAAAAATTTTATACAGTCTATAAAAATTCTTTTTTTAATTTTTTGCGCAAAAAATATATGGACAGCTCGGGTACACCTTTCATGAATCGAACTGGAAGAGTCTCCACGACCTATAGCACTGCGATGTGAAAACAACGTAAAATCTCTCACACTTAATTTGCTTACAATTAAGTTAAACATTAAAAAAGATTATAAACTGAAAAGCTTCAGAAAAATTAAAAGTTGTTTTAACCAAAAGTAAACTACATTTGTTAATACATAGAATCGTACCGAGCCTTAGCGGAGCTCGTAAAAAATTTTTTTGGGGTTTCTTAGAAAAAGATTTCTCATAAAATAAAAAAAATGCAAAAAATTCTACGTCGAGAACATTAGTGGCCTGGGCGATCAGTAAAACTTATGCGGCAGATACGGCGGTAGTAACTCCTCTGAACATATGTTAAACATAAAAACTTAAACTTAAACTTGTTAAACATTATTGAACCAATGCAAAATATTAATTCTGTGGGTACATTTGTTACAAAGATATCACAGTATATTACATTGATCTGCTATTGGTCAGAAATATTCATCAGACGAGCCGGAATAACAATTTATTTAATTAATCTCTTGTAAAATTGCTTTTTTTTAAACTTTACTATTTTAAGGTTCTGCTGGTCCTTTTTATCCCACTCATGTGCTGCTTATCTTCTGATAGCAAAGTCATAAGAATAAAGGTTTTGGCTGGTTATGAATTTATACATATTTTTCCCTCTACTATCAAATATTTTTGTTAAAAAAAATCTAATTTTATTTGTTTACGAGATATCCGTGGTGGACCATTAATTGGTTTACCCTACCCATAAACATACAAATGTGATTTTTTAACGTAAGTAATCAGTAATTTTTGATTGATTTCTTTACATAATTTTATTGTAAAAACAGTGCCTAGTGTTATTGTGCACAAAAGACATAGCAATTGCTTTCGTAGATTTGGCCTCATTATGTAAAATCATGTCCGTCATTATAATTGGACATAATTTTTTGCAAAAATGGGTCATTATAAGCAACATGTCAATATAAGCAATGTCAATATATCCAACTAGACAGCTGTTTTTTAAGGTATTTTATATGGAAAACAAACTTCCTAGTGCGATTACGTCATAATAAGCAGTTGTCAATGTATCCGGCGTCATACTAATCGGATTCTACTGTATATATAAATATATGTACGCACGCATGGGTATATAAATCAGCATATTTGTTTATTTAATACATAATTTATTTGCAAAATAGATATTTATATACATTATAAATAACCTAACCCTATTATAGCTAAAATACATTTAAATGTTAAACTAATTTAAAAACTTGTTAAACAAAATGCATCATCTAAACTTAAATTATAGTGGTAAGATTTCACATAGAATTTGAAACTGCTCATAATTTCTTTCACATAATGAATTAAAAATAATAAAAAAAGATAATTTCTAATTACAATCTTGAATGTTAGAATATATATTTATATCAAGGAAATAATGGTGCATGCACAAATATATTCAAACAAACCATGATATTCTTAATACGAAACATAAATAAAATTTTGATTTATGTGTAAAATAAATAATAACCACTACCGCCGCATGTTAAAACCATTTGTACCATCTGGTCCTGTCGGTTGTCTCACAATACACTCTTGTGATTTTGTGGCTGAAAATTGTATGTGATTATGATTATTCCATTGTGAATTTCTAGTGCTATTATCATTGGACATTGTGATTTCAGACTTGCTTTGACTACCATTTACACTGTAATAAAAGTAATTAATACATTAACAAATATACGCATCATGAAAATGAATAGTTTGAAATACAATTAAGTAAGTCATATTCTCTGATAAAGTATTATACATTAGAATTTATCATATTTATACAGTATAGACCAAAATCTTAATTCGATATTATTTTACCTGGGTTCATTTATTTCTTCCGGACTTTTAGCAGAACCTAAAATTCGTAATCTCGCCTCTGCATATTCTTGTTCCCTTTGTTGTAGTGTTTTAATTGGAGCTCTGGGTTTACTTTCTTGGATTATAGCACTGTGTGGACTTTTACTAGGTCGTTTGAGAATTTTGACAGTAGGTTCTGGTGGGTGCGTTCTATAGGCATCATCTCCCATTAAAATCATTTTCAATGGCCCCACATTCGTCATTTCTGTTATTTTTGAATCACCATTTATAATGCTATTTAATTTATTTTCTAGCTAAAAATGAATATACAGATCAATAGCGTGACAGCAAGATATAGGTTATGTTAGAACAAAAGTTGTAAAAACCGGATTTTGGATTAAGATACTATTTTAAAAGACTAAATATATATAAAAGTAAACCACATTTAGTTAATTTTACTTAAAACTTACACAAGATTCGTCGATTTCTTCCCAATTTTCATATACGTCTTTCTCTTGTCTGGCTGACATTTTGAAAAGAATGTTAGATTGTATTTCGTTTCGGTTTTATATAATTCCAGATTTTTAAATAAATCTATTCAATATTTAAGCAAACACATGCTACTACCACTTTGATACATCGTTCTAGTTAATATCTTAACAAAAATAATAAAATCGAATAACCTAATTAATTTAGATCTTAACATTATCCATTGTCGGATTCACCATGGTGCACTGCATGTATGCATTCTTCAGCCCAGTTTTTGTTTTTCTCTTAACACTTTGCAATGGTTTAAAATTCTAAATAAAATGGATGATGTTTTAAATTATTTCAAGATCCTTCGAGATAATATGAATGAACCCTATGTTTAATCTGATTTAGCTAACGGAATGCCAAGCTAAGGATAACAACGAAAACTTAACTGCGAATGTGATAATCAAAGATAAAATACACCTAACCGTAATAATTACTATGAAAAGTTGTATTTTAAAAGAATATATTACGTTTATTTACATTTTTCTTAATTTTTATTATTTATATTACTAAGTAAAAAATTAAAATATATCTTATTTGACAGTTTGTCAGGTTGTGTATACGTTGTGTATTTTACTCAATTCTACTCATAGATAAAAGAAGAGTCTGATTCTACTGTTCTAACATATTAGAAAAAGCTCATAAAAATATATAAAAAAAATTGATTGATAAACTGTTAAAAATCTAACCAAATACGAAAAATCTAATGAAAGTCTTCACTTAATTTAAAGTTAATTCAATCTTAACCTGTCTCACTCATATGCAATTTAAATCTGTAATATGATAAAAAATAAACTGATTGTTAAAAGCTGAAAGATGGAAAAAAAGCTACTTAATGGAACAGCTGACACTGGAAAGGCAGCAGGAATTGAAAACTACACGCATGAAAGCGTTAAAAATGAATCTACTTCAATAAATTTTATTAACTTGAAACATTATACTTTAAATTCTGGGGCTGTGTTACGAGGATTTTACCTTCTCATAGGCTTAAGTATCTTAGTTGTGTTGTACTTAGCTTATAGAGGACTGAGGTAATTAATAAGATGTTCTCACAACTATGTAATTAATTATAGTTTTGAATGCACACTAAAGTTTACTTTTTTGTGTAGTGTCTCAACACAAAAGAAAATACTTAATGTTAAACACTGAAATATAGAGAATTGTCAACTTTATAAAGAAGATTCTTGTAATAATTTTTAGATTAAGAAGATCTCGTATAGAACGCAGATATGGTACAAATAAAACAAATGATACTCAGGAATTAACACCACTTACCAGTGGGGATCATTGCTGATGATGAAGATAGCGATGGCGAAGACCAAACTATATTTGAATTACAACATATCTCAAACAGAAATTAAATATGAAATTTAGAATATAAAGCTTTAAATTGTTTATTATAAAATTTTCCAAAATAGTTTTGGTATGCAAGTGGAATTGGTTAAGCTGATGGTAATAGATAAATGCATAAAAAAGCATAAACAAAATATTTGCTAAACCTTTAGTATAATAAAATGATGCTTGAAATTTGTTGCTTCAATACTATTTTGGATTTTATTCCAGTTATTGTCACTAATCCAGTGAGTTTTTATTAGTTGTTTTATCTAATGTAAATAATGAATTATATTTAATAGAATGGACCATTTATTTCTTAATCTAATATAAGATTCTCAAAATACCAATATTTTTGTAAAAATTAATTAATAAAATGATTTAAAATCATATTCCATCATTATTGTTAAATCTATAATAAATCAAGTCACTTAAGTATTCTAATATATTCTCCTTAAGGGGGATAAGCTGCTAAATCAAATGTTAGCACATTACTAACAAGACAATCAGCAGGCTGGAAAGAAAAAAAATGCATATAATTCTAAACATAAAAATCGATATTCTTTTTTTTTTATTACCTCTGGTACAATGCCAACTAATCGATCAGCATGACAATAAAATTCTTCTTTTAAAGATATTACTAGAGTTTGCAAATCCGTTTTTGATTTTCTTATATAGTGAGCAACTTTTCCAATGTTTGTATTATCCAAAGCTGCATCTATTTCATCTAATACAAAGAATGGCGCTGGCTGGTAACTAAAATAATAAGCAAATTGAAAAATTATACTTCTATACAATTATTAGATTAAATAATTACGATAAATTTTTCTGCCTACCTGTGTATAGCAAATAACAGTGCTAAAGCAGCTATAGTCTTTTCTCCTCCTGATAAGTTGGACATAGGCTGAAAACGTTTTCCTGGAGCAACACAATTATAATTGACACCATCCAAATAAGGTTCTTCTGGATTTTCCAAACCTAGAAAAGCCTGGGCACCTGGGTTCTTGGCTAATTTCTGTATATATAATTTTGCACTATTAGTTAATTTATTATTTGCGATGCAATAAAATTTAATCATTTTGTAGTATAAAGAAATACAGAGTAAACTTATATATTTCAAAAAAAATGTCATGATATAATATATTTGATATAATTACTTACTTTATAAATTTCATCTATTTCATTGCTGACGTGCACAAAACACTTCATGAATTTATCGTGACGTTCTTGCTTGACTCTGTCAAAATCTAGTTTAGCTTTCTTAGTTCTTTTGCGAGCTGCTTCAAATTCTTCATTTGTCATCTGTATCTTCACTCTAACTTCCTCTAATTTTTGAGAAGCCTTAAAAAATGTTAATAAGATTATACATAAATTTATTAAAAATTTTAACTTTTTTAAGAATAAAATAATCTAATACTTTCAAGTTAGGTGCTTGGATTCTATGAATAGTATCTTCTAAAGAATTTACAGATTTTGTCATTTTATCAGTTGTTTTTTTAATATCATCTGGATCATTTTTTTTCCTTAAATCTCTTGCCAGTTCTGAATAATCAATTTGTATTCTGTAAAGTTGAATTATATTTAATGAGCTCACTTTCGACAATTCAAAAATGTAGTTGGAAATACCTAGATTCCTTTTCCCCGAAATTTGATGCTGTAGCACGACTGGTACCTTCACCATTTTGCAAAGTAGTATCTTGAGTAGCTACATCTTCTAAGGATCCACTCAAAAATGGGATTGCTATAGAATCCATCTAAAATAAAGTGATTTTCATTAATATACATGAATAAAATTATTATATAATCAACTATTACTTTGCACTGCATCAGTATATTATGACGTTCATTCCTTTTGCTATCAAGTTTTGATTCGATGGAAGACACATTTTTCTGTGCTGTAACGACATCTTTACTCAATGAACCAACTTCTCTGCGAGCCTTTAAAATATCAATATTTAATGAAGAAAATGTGCATAATGTAAAATTAGATTTGTAAACAATACCTTTCCAATTTCCTCTTCCATTGCATCATGAATTGCTTTTTTTGCCTGTTTCTCCCCTTTTAATGTATCTACTTTCTCTTTTAAAGCGTCAATATCTTGCCTTTGTTTTAATTCAGCCTGCTTACTAGTTTCTAGCTCATCTTCATCATCTTGTACAGTACGTTCCCATCTTTGCACATTTTCTAATAGAATGAAAAATTTTATTTAATATAAAAATAAAATAAATCATATACATATTATATATGAAATAAAATGGTCTTTTGCCAAACCGAAGGAGTTATTTAAAATTAATAATTTAAACTTCTTACTTTGAGTATCTCTAGATTTCTCAAACTCTAAATTACTCGTTATACGATCAATATGTCCTTCAAATTCCATTTTCTTCTTAGCCCGTTCTTGTTGAGTACGTAATTCTCTTTCCTCATATTGTCTTATATTATCCACTCCAATTTGTTCACAAAATTTAGCAAATACAACATCCTCAACATTGTTCATACTTTCTTTGATTTCTTGAATTTTCTGATCTCGCTCTAACATTGTGCGCTCAATATCAGCAATATTTGGCTATCAAAGCAAATAATGTAAAAAAATCCTAATTCATCAATAAAAGTATTGAGCCTTATAATACTTACTCCAAACTGATCCATTTGCTTTGCAAGCTGTTTGATTTCACGCTCTAAAGATTGAATTTGTTTTGACTGAAACAAAAATTAAGTATATAAAAAAATATTTATTCAAACAAAAATTGTATAGAATACATACTGTAGTCTCCTTATCATTTTTAGAATAACGCAATCTTGTTTCAAGTCCTCTAATTTGTGATTCAACTGTTGTGAGTTCACTTTCTTTTCGAGACTTTTTCATAGCTTCACGGAGTTCATCTGTTATTTTTTCCTTTGATATAAAAGATTTAAAATTAATATTTATATTATTATTAATCATTATGTGTTTTCATTGTATTCTAAAAATTTTAAGAATAAACTTTTTCATAGCTTCACGGAGTTCATCTGTTATTTTTTTCTTTGATATAAAAGATTTAAAATTAATATTTATTTTATTATTAATCATTATGTGTTTTCATTGTATTCTAAAAATTTCAAGAATAAAATGCAAAATATATTTTAATACTTTTTTGGCTTTTAGCTGTGCCATATGTTTTTCGTCCCATCTTTTAGCTTTTCGAGCAAGATCCAAACTGCCACCAGATATTATACCAGATTTTTGATAGAATGTACCATCTAATGCTAATGCCTAAAATCAAATTGCTCTATGTAATAATAGTTTAGGGAAGAAATATTGTCACTGCTATTAAATTTACATCATATCTGTTTTTGCCATCCAAATCATAAGCTACTTTCATAGCATCCTCTGGAGTCTCACATACTAAAGCATTATTTGTTGCAAAAAGTACAGCTCGTTCAATGGCAGGAGGCTCAAAACAAAGAACATCAAAGAGAAGACAAACATTTTTGGGTTCACGAATATTTCTGAGTAAAAATTAAAAGCTTAATGATTTTTATTAACTTTAAGTTAAAGAAATCATGTGTATAAAAACATAATATTTTCCTTAAATATATTATAAATTATTATATTTAAGTAAGAAAATTACCTTAATCGTTCTTTAAGAGGCTTTGCTTGAATATAATCTAAAGGCAAAAATGTCTCAGGTTCCAGACGTTGTTCTTTCAAAATTTGAATGCATTTTCTTGCTGTCTTTTCAGTATCAACAACTATAGCTTCCATATATTTACCAAGTACTTTAGTTACAGCAACATTGTATCGCTTATGCTGTGG